CAGGTCCCATCAACAGAAGCATAGAGTCCAGAAGAGAGGAGGGGACAGCTCCACTGTGCTCTGAAACATTGGGCTTGGTGATGGCAGCTGTGCTTCTGGGCATCCAGAGTTGGAAGCTGACCCAGAGCAGGGAGCCAAGCTAGAGAAGACATCACTGGAGACATCAGTGAAGACACGATTGAAAGAACTGAAGATGTTGGCTGTGGAGAAGACGTTCATTCAGGGAAAATAACCCAAATTCTTGACTCTGGGGAAGGGAGCAATCTCTTTCACTGTCTGCATACCAAAGACAGGCGGTGCCTTCTTCTCCACAGCCCCCCTTCTTTAGACCGGGGGTGGGGTCAAGCTTCCTGCCTGTTAATAAGGTGTGGCTGGGGAAGCATCTAGTGCCAACTGTTGGCAGCTGATAGGGCATCCCTTGTCCTCAGCTTTGGGCCTCACCTGCCCATCCTGGGCAGTTGGCAAGTAGTTTCGCTTCCATCCGGTAGGACACAATTCTTCCCTTCAGTGATTTGAGGGATGGATGTGGATGGAGTTTTATGGAGGCGGGTGATCTTTCAGGAACTTCAACACTAAAGCTGTTGAAAAATGGAATGCCCTGGCGGGGCGCCTGGGTGGCTCAGTCGGTTAAGCATCCTACTTCGGCTCAGGTCATGATCTTGTGGTCCATGAGTTCAAGCCCCACGTCGGGTTCTGTGCTGACAGCTCGGAGCCTGGAGCCTGCCTCGGATTCTGTGTCTCCCCCCTCGAATAAATAAACATTACAAATTTTTTTTTTTTAATAAGGTCGACATGGGGCGCCTGGGTGGCTCAGTCGGTTGAGTGTCCGACTTCGGCTCAGGTCACGATCTCGCGGTCCGTGAGTTCGAGCCCTGCGTCGGGCTCTGGGCTGATGGCTCAGAGCCTGGAGCCTGCTTCTGATTCTGTGTCTCCCTCTCTCTCTGTCCCTCCCCCGTTCATGCTCTGTCTCTCTCTGTCTCAAAAATAAATAAAAACGTTAAAAAAATTAAAAAAATAAAATAAGGTCGACAGTCGCCTCGTTCAGGGCTCCCCTCCCCCCGGATTCAGTGTGACCTCATCTTAACTTGATTACATCTTCAAGACCCTGTTTCTAACTAAAGGCACATTCACAGGTACCAGTGGTTAGTATTTCAACACATCCTTCGGGGTGGGGTGGGATATAATTCAACCACAGTGATGCCCATGCCTTCAGCGTGTGCGTAAGAGCTGGGTGTGGAAGGAAGGGAGGAGAGAAGAAAGGAAGGGGAAGGAGTTTATTAGAAGAGTGAGACTTGCATGCATGTATTCAATGTATCTCTGAGCACAATTGTATGTACATGTGATCGACAGCGTGTGCAAACAGCCCCAAGAAAGGATTGCACGGTATAGCCGAACTGATACTCCGTAACTATGTCCGTAACTATGGATGGCTATGCAGCCACTGAAAAGAATATGTCTTAAATAACAGGCAATATGTTGGACTACGGCTTACAATTTCTATCCAATGCAAAATATCCCTCCTAAATGTAGAGTTTGATTTCAGCAAAATTGAAGGGACATTTGGAGCCAGGGCATCTGTATGCAAGCTAACAGTTCAAAACCCGAGTTTTGCTTTCCGATGGAATATATAAATATATTTCTTGCCTCATTTCTGCCAAAGCATATTTCTCTTCCACATTATCAGTGTTGGAGCAAGCTTTATTTCCCTAGGCTCTTTAGTATTTCTCTCTAGGGTTTTCAGCAACTGTTGGATGAGTATCAATTTATTTATTTTTTTTATGAAAAATAGACAGAAGTTCGGGCACCTGGGCGGCTCAGCCTAGCATCCAACTTCAGCTCAGGTCACGATCTTGTGGTTGGTGGGTTCGAGCCCCGCATCGGGCTCTGTGCTGACAGCTCGGAGCCCAGAACCTGCCTCAGATTCTGGGTGTCCCTCTCTATCTCTGCCTCTCCCTGGCTTGTGCTCTGTCTCTCATAAATAAACATTAAAAAAAATTTTTTAATACACAAAAGTTTTTTTTTTTTAAGTCCAATCTATAGGCTCTGACCTGGAAAGATTTTTGTATGTGTTGTTAAATGAAAAAAGCAGGTTATGGAGTGAAGGGTGGTGAATAATTCTGTTCAAAAAATAGGGATAGAGCCACCCTTAAAATCCATTTATCGGTCCCTTATAAAACTAACCTCAGCAATTGTACCCCTGGGCATTTATCCCAGAGAAATGAAAATGTCAGGTTCACCCCAAAACGTGTACGTGAATGTTCATAGCAACATTCTTAGAAATAGCTGAACATCACAGGCAGAATCACTAGTAACAATCAGATGTCACAAACTGTGGTACATCCGTGCTGCGCAATATTGCTGCTCAATAAAAAGAAACAAACCGTGGGGGCACCTGGTAGCTCAGTCGGTGAAGCATCTGACTTTTGATTTCGGCTCAGGTCATGATCTCACGGTTCGTGAGTTCGATGCCCGCGTTGGGCTCTGTGCTGGCAGCTCAGAGCCTGGAGCCTGCTTTGGATTCTGTGTCTCCCTCTTTCTCTGTGTCTCCCCCCGCCCCCATTCATGCTCTGTCTCTCTCTCTCCCTCAAAAATAAACATTAAAAAAAATTTTTTTAATAAAAAAAATGGGGGAGACCCTTGGGTGGCTCACCCAGTTAAGCATCTGACTCTTGGTTTCGGCTCAGGTCGTGATTTCACAGTTGGTGAGTAGGAGCCCCCCGGCTCTGTGCTGAGAGGGAGAAGCCTGCTTGAGACTCTCCCTCTCTCTCTGCCCCTCCCCCTCTCACTTGCACACTCTCTCACAAGCTCGCTCTCTCTCCCTCTCAAAATAAAAAAAATAAACTTAGAAAAGCGGGGAGAGCCTCACATACATGTACGCGAGTAGGTGTGCGCACGGGAAGGTGTGGGAAGATACACAGCAGACTGGTTGGCCTCTGGAAAGCGAGTCTGGAAAGAGATGATTTAATTAACCTTTTCGCGTCAGCCTCTCCAGTATTTGACTTGTTCCTACAGGCGTGTGTGTGACTTGGTAAATTTGTTCAGACCCACAAGGTAGCCCCCAAACAGTGGGTGGGGAGAGGGAGAAGGCATCAAGAGCTCCGCCTGGCCCACAGCCATGCCTGGAAAACCCTTGCTCTGTATTTCCACGAACGTCTTGAATCGGGATCGAGGGGAGAGCGTGACTGGCCCACTCTGGCCTCCGTGTGTCCCGCTTCCCGGCCACCCTGACACCACCAGCTTACCGTCGTGCTATTTCCTGCCCCTCACAGCCTCCCGTGGCTCTCCACCAACCCCAGGCACTCAGGGAAGAGAGCAGGGGCGAGGGGTGACTTCTGGGTCCAGCGCTGGCGAACCTTCCCTGAGCCGTCACCAGGGGCCAAGAATCATCTGAGTGCCTTTCAAGCATTGCCTCTTGGCGATTCTCCGAAGAGCCCCAGGAGAGGAAGCCTGTGGTTGTACCCATTCTACAGATGAGGAGATGAGGTCGTTCTTGCTTGGCCTGGCACGGAGAACACCGTCGAAGCGTATCCCACTGGGGGCATCACCGTCCCCTGACCAAACCCGGCCCTCCCACCGATGGCCCTCGAGGCCCACGGGCCTTCGGGAGGCAGGGGTGTTCACCCGGCACCCCTGCCCTCTGGAGGCGGCAGCTTAAGGAAATCGACAGAGGGGAACGTCTGGCCCGTTAACCGGCCAACGGGTGGGAGGGCCGTGTCCCCTGAGCCCTCTCAATCGGAAGTATGGAGAGGCGGATGCCAGTCGGGCGCAGGCCCTGCTTCTGACATTGTGCTTCCAACCGGGAGGTCAGGCTGGGCTGCGGGAGGCCAGCAGGACGCTTGGCAACAGCTGCAGAGCAAGAATTGGCCCCAGTTGGAAACAGCCCCAACCCCAGCCACACAGTGTCGTCAAGAGGAGCTCCTGGCCGAAGCGGAGAGGCTGAACCGGGCATGAGGGGGTTGGCCTGCGGGGCGGGGCCTGGTGCCCTCTGTGCCCCGCTCTCCGCCCGTGTCCGCTTCTGTGCTGGGCGCCCCCAGACTGCAGGGGAGCAGCTGCTAGGAGAGCTGGACGATAGCTTCTGGAAGGGACGACCGGCTTCTCCTCCTGCAGTTACGAAAGTACCCAGGACGTCCTGCCTCCCACTCTGCGGGGGCTACTTCTCAGAGTAGGGAAGGGAAGCCAGGCAGGGGGGTGGTCCTGGCCTTTCTGGAAGTTTCTCTGGCTGCAGGTTCTCTTCCTTCCATCACCTTGAGTGAGTCAGCTCGGTCATGATCTCGCGGTTTGTGGGTTCGAGCCCCGCGTTGGGCTCTGTGCGGACTGCTCGGAGCCTGGAGCCTGCTTCGGATTCTGTGTCTCCCTCTCTCTCTGCCCCTCCCCAGTTCTCTCTCTCTCTCTCTCTCTCTCAAAAATAAATAAACATTAAAAAAAAATAAAAAGAGAGAGAAAGGGGAAGGACACAGACACCATGGTGGCAGGTTTCATCCCAACTCCCCTGACCCAGACCCATACCTGCCGCCCCACGGCCCCCAGCCCCGCCCCTTACACGGGGCCTTCTGAGTCCAGCCACCAAACTTCCCGCCGCTCCCCAGGCTCTGACCCCAGCCCTGCCTTTTCTCGGCTTCCTCCTCTCCCTGGAAGTCCCCTCCACCTGTTCCCAGGGGCAAATTCTTTGTCATCTCTCAAGATGGCTCTGCAGTCGCCTTGGACAGCATGTCCTGCTTGATGCCCCTCGTCCCTGCTTGGTGACTGATGGTGTGCCCATCACTCTTACACACGGTCACACACAGACCACTATCACCGTTGGGGCACGCCGCCCTCCATCTGGTGCTTCTCTGTGTGCCCATCCCCGCGCCAGACCAGGGATGCCAGAGCAGGGATTTCTCCTCTCTCCGTGCCCAGGGCCCGCACAGAGCCTGGCGCACATGCGGCACGTGGGGCTGGAGTCGATGGATACGTGAGCGCACGGAACACTTAGAGCGTTCTTTTCCTCTCGTTGTCTCCAGGGATCTATAAAGGCCACTGCTTCCGGATCAATCACTTCCCAGAGGACAATGATTACGACCACGACAGCTCGGAGTATCTCCTCCGTAAGTGCCAAGCATCTTTCACTTTCCTTGTATGTGTGGGAGGCTGGGGGGCAGCTGCAGGAAAGACGGGCCCCGTGGGGGCGAAGGGCTGCTGTTCTCTGGATGCTCTTTCTCTCCCTTTCCGATTCAGAATTGTGAGTTTGGAGGATGGACTTATGTCCAACGCTGCCATGGCATGCTGGGTATCCCAGCGGGGTTGCTTGGCGCCCAGGCCCATGCCTGGGGAGACTGAGGCCCAGCCAGAGCAGGTGACGGTGTGGGCGCTCTGCTCGCCAGGAATGCTGGTCACGGCGAGCTGCAGAGTCGCCGATTGCTGCCATGGGGCCTGGCGCAAGGAGGTTAAAGACACAGGCCTGCCCAGGCCAAGCGTCCCTAGGGGGCTGTGATACCCCAAGTACGTGGCCCTCCCGGCCCTGGACCCGCCCACCCCACCCCCCACGTACCCAGCATTCTGTTCTTGAAAAATCAGACAGTCTGGTGGGGAGCCACCGCCTCTGCCCCTGTCCTGTGGTTGAGTTGACCCCCAGACTGGAAGTCACAGCATATACTGGACAAGGACAAACCCGTCCCACACGGGAAATCCAGATCTCATCCCTGGGCCTGTGAACACCACCCTGGGAGAAAGGATGGGGCCACAGCCACAGAAGGTGCCTGGAAATGAAAGGACAGTACCCCTTGAAGCCGTTTCCCCCTTTCCCATGAGTCAGAACGCGCACACAGCTGCTCACGGCGTCACCCTCGGGGGCCGGGGCCCGGGGCCCGGCTGCACTGATGGAGAATCGACAGCAGCGTCCTCAGAGGGAGCGCAATTCACTCTGCACCTGCTTGTGGAGCGTTTTCTTCTAAGAGAAAGGATTTGGGTTGTGAGTCGTCTGGTCAAACAGTACAGCGTGTGGTTCCCGTGGAGCCTGGGGAAGTGTCAGGAGGCTCTGGCCAGACCCAGAACCTGAACAAATTTGGCCACCTCTGCCTCCCTCACCTTCTCTTCTTCCTCCTGCCTCTCCTTCCTTTCTGCTTTCTGGGGCCAACGCTGAAGCAAGCAAATGAGATTCCATAGGGCCACCGCAAATGGCCGTGCGGCTTACGCACACACTCAGCTACACTGTGGTATAAACGACACCCTTCGAGTTGTACAGTGCGCGGCCTGCACGGCCATCTGGGGCGACCCCTGGTGCTCAGCCCAGCTGGGATGGCTCATGAGCATCGGCCCAAAGGTCAGATGATGTAGCCTTCTGGGGTTCCAGCAGGAAGCAGACGGCATGCTCAGATGCGGTGAACGAAGGGTGTCTAGTGAAGGACTATGTACAAAGTGAGGTCAGGGTTAAGGAAAGCTTGCGGGGGGTGGGGAGAGCGGCAGGGCTAGTGGCCACAGGAGCCCTTGCACTCCGGGGCCTGAGCAGGTGAGGAAAGCAGGCATGGGAGCCTGGAGAAGGGAAGCCGGGAGGACAGGGCTGCCCGGCAGGCGCTGGGGCTTTTAGGAGGGAAGGCAGTCACCTCACCTCACCGGAGCCTTCAGGAAGGAGGCTCGGGGAATACTGTTACCCTGCACCCTCCTCCCAAAGCCAGAGGCAACGGAGCCCAAGTATCCCTTGCATGGTGCATGGTGCGGCCTCCCCGGGGCCCAGGGCAGGACGCAGAAAGTTCGAAGGAGGACCGGGAGGGGCAAGTCAGGGATGTGCAGCACACTCTCCCCTCCAGCTTCAGGCTCCCACTGTCCCCGCATTCCACCTGCGGTGCCCGAGGTGGGGGGGGGGGGGGCGTGAGGGCTAGGAGGGGCCCCTCAGCGATTTTCCCAAATCGATGGGGACAGCACAGACGAAAGATCATTTGGGAAGGAAACGCCCGCCTCAAGTGTGCTCTGTGGGGGCCCGGCGGGTTCATTCACAAGCTGCTGATGGAATCGGGGCGGAGGGCAGAGCTAACCCTCCAACAAGGGGGTGTTTTTCTACTCAGGGGCTGGCGGAAAAAGGAGCTGGCCCCGAAACGAGATTCGGAGTACAGGTACCTGGGAGCTTCAGCCAGAGGGAGCAGGCAACGTCCTCGAACTGGGGGCGCCAAGGTCATAGTCACCACGGCCGTCCCCCACAATTCCCAGTATTTGGCCCTCTGGGCCCCAGAGTATTGTGACCCCCAAAATACACAGAAGCACAGGAGACAGAGAGGAGGGGTCATGATAGTTCATTTATTCACCCATTTAACACAAAGTTATTCTTGGGCCTATTACACGCCAGATACTGTGTTAGCCACACATGTCACTGCAGTGGCGGAGCGGATGCTCCAGTGGGTCAGAGAAGGTTGTGGAAGGTTCCATGGTGCTTGCCTGTGGGAGTGGCAGCTTAACCATCCGGGCGAGGGGTATCGACCCTGACAGGTCCAAGGCCGTGCTTCTCACACACCCTGCCTTCCACAATTCGAGAACAAAGTCAACCTTCCGACCATGCATTCTGAAGTCTTCCGGAGAAACCAGGCTTGTGCATTGAGTTCCATCGCTGTCAGAGGGGCTCCCCCCCCCCAACCCGGGGGCTCTGGCCGTGCCCCCACTGGTTCATACATCCACAGGCAGGTGTGGGGTCTGAGCGGTCACCCCACACACAAACACACAGCCTGCCGTGTCTTTTCCACCGGCCCCTCTGGCCCGGGAGGTTCCCACCCATCCCACTCTGGTCCTGGGGTCCCTTTTCCGGGTGCCACACTTCCCATCACGGAGCCGATTTGGGTGCTAAGGCTCGCAGTATTGATGTCAGGGATGCCGGGAGGCCCCTGTGCCTGAGGGTGAGTGACTGAGAAGGAGGTACCAGTGCTCCAGACCAGGCACGGACTCTCTCCAGGGCTTGATTTGGCCTTGAGGCACGGCCCAGACCTCAGTCTTGCTCGTCCCTCAGCTCTGTGCAAGACCCACGCTGCACCATTGTCTACGGCAACCCCAGCTGGCTTCTGCACATCCAGAGCCCTGGGATGAGTCTTTGTGGCAAGGGACAGGCACGCACATGACTGACGTGGGCAGGATGGATGGCTCTGTGCCGGGTCTGGCCTCAGCGACCTTAGAGGCACTGGGCTCCCTTCTCCCCAGCCCCTCTGACCCGTCTGCAGAACGGGGGCATCCAGGGGGAGCCGACCCCGGATTTTCTGGCCAGCATGGCTTTGAGGCATGTTTCCAAAGCCCACGGGAAACCTCCTCCCAGAGCCTGCGGCTGCAAGAAGGCAGAGGAAGGGGGAGGAGATGCTGGAGAGAAGAGCTTTATTTAATGCCCCCAACAAAGCCCCCTCTGTGAAGCGGGGCACACACTGGTGGGCTTACAGGAAAGGAGACAAATAGTGCCTTCAGAGGCTGCAAGGCCACAAACCGGCTCAGCTGGCTCAGGAGTCGGTGCCTGCCAGGGCTCCCCGACTTGCCATCCCCCGCCGGGGCCACCAAGGGTCCACGTCGCCAGGATTTCTACTGGGCTGGGAGACCTGTAGGCCCATCAGGAAGGCTGAGCTCAGGGCTCCTCCTGAAGCCCCACCTCCCTTCCTCCTGGCCCTTCCAGCCAGATGCTAAGGAAGGGGGACCCATAGCCCCTAAGCCCCCACCAAGTGCAGAAAGTGTATTCTTTTCCTAGGGCCGCACGCCAGGTGGCTTAAAACAACGGGAATTTACTGTGAATTTACTCTCTCTAGGTGCGGAGGCTGGAGTCTTCAATGGGATGCTGGCAGGGCTGGGCTCCCTCCACGGTGCCCAGGGGTCTCTTGCGACGCCTGTCGGCTCCCCACCTTCCTTGACGTGGGGCCCCCTCACTCCTCTCTCTGCCTCTGCCTTCACACGACTTCTTCCCTGCCTGTGTCTCTTCCTCTGCTCACAAGAGCACTTGTCATTGGATTTAGGACCCACTCTAATGCAGGATGGTGTCCTCTTGAGATCCTTAATTTAATCACACCTGCAAAAAAACCCTTTTCTAAATAAGGTCTCATTCATAGATACCTGTGATTAGGACTTGGTCATATCTACTGGGCGGAGGGGTGCAATTCAACCCCTACAGGTAGGTATTTAATACTACTCTCCCCAGGTTACGAAACAGGAGACTTGGGCGCCTGGGTGGCTCAGTCAGTTAAGCGGCCGACTCTTGTGTTCAGCTCAGAGCGTGATCTCACAGGTTGTGAGTTCGAGCCCCACGTCGAGCTCTGTGCTGATAGCGTGGAGCCTGTTCGGAATTCTCTGTCTCTGCCCCTCCCCAGCTCGTGCTCTCGCATTCTCTCTCTCTCTCTCTCTCTCTCCCTCAAAATAAATAAGCAAACTAAAAAAAAAGAGAGCAGACTGACGTTGTCAGAAGTTAGCCGCCCTGGTCGGTGGCAGAGCAAGTGTGCAAGTCCAGCTTGGCTGGACAGCGAGCTCCACGCACGTCCCACTGTGTTTAGCCACCACACCCCGTCCCGTGACCTCAGGAGGCCCTGGTCTGTCCCCGGGGGGGGGGGGGGGGGGGGGGGGGAGGGGGACAGACCAGGGCATGACAGCAATGTTGGCAGTGGAGATAAAGGCTGTCACTCAGAAGTGTGTGCAATGGCCAGGCCCTGTGCTAAGCCTCTTAATACACACAAAACCCACCAGAGGAGGTGGGTCCCTGCTCCCAGCTGCTTTCCGCAAACGGGGAAGCTCAGTGTTAAGTGAAGCGGCCTGACAAAATAGCCAGCATGTCCCAGAGCAGACCCAGAGCCACCTGATGCCAAAGGCTGCGTCCTCAGCCACCCGTCACCATTTCCCAGCCTTCCAGAGGCTCCTTAGAGACCGCGTCCGTGAAAGGCTCAGTGTAGCGGTGAGGGTGCGGTGTCTGAATGGAAGGCAGACCGGCGTTTTCATGGCTGTTATTGGGGCTCCCAGATACCATTGAGGGGCCCTCCTGCCTTCGGGCTGGCAGGGGGAGCCTGCTGCGGGCAGACGAGACTCCGGGCCTGAGCCATCGCTTGAGTGGGGTCAGGCTGCCCCCGCCCGGCCAGCTCCCAACCCGCCGAGGTCTGCAGGGCCTGATGGGAGGGAACCTTCAAAGTCAGGAGAAGGGCCTCGAGCGTCGGGGCTCCCGGCCGGCCGACGCCCGAGGCCGAGGCCGTGCCCAGAACGGCGGCCGCCCTCACCGCCCTCTGCTCTGTCTCCCGCCCCGGCCCAGGCATCGTGCGCGCCTCCAGCGTCTTCCCCATCCTCAGCACCATCCTGCTGCTGCTTGGCGGGCTCTGCATCGGCGCCGGGAGGTTCTACAGCCGCAAGAACAACATCGTCCTCAGCGCGGGCATCCTCTTCGTGGCCGCAGGTGAGCCGCCGGCTCCGTTCCGCCGGCACAGGGCGCGCGCCCGGGGCGTGCGCGGGGCTGGGGGCGCCGACGCGAGGTCGTTGCTCGTAATTGACTTCAAAGGTCCGGGTGCGAGGGGGCTGGCGCGGGGCGTGGGGAGCGGCTGCTCAACGGGCACGGAGTCTCCTTCTGGGGGCGGCGAACACGTTCTGGAACTAGATAGAGGCGTGGGGTGCACAACACTGTACATGTACTAAATGCCGCTTAAGTGGGCACTTGAAGGGGCTCATTTGTGCCATGGGATTTCACATTAATCACAAAAATAAATGTCTAAGTGTGCACAGTGCCACAAAGGGGCAGTGCCGGCGCCTTGTAAGCCTGGCTGCATCGGAGGGGCCAGGAGGGTACCCCGAGGGACTCACGGAAGCCAAGACCTGAAGAAGCGGAGGAGGACAGGGTGAAAGGGGGCAGAACGGGCAAGGGTGCACATCAGAGTCACCCTCTGCGACCCAGTGAAGACCCACGGAGCTGCGGGTGACAGTAACACACGCCCTCCTAACTGGCGTGACACTGGCACTCCTCCGGGCGTCGATGGAGAGACTTCAGCGCATGCCTCGCCACTGCAGACGTGGAGGCAGTCAAGCCGGAAGTGGGTTCACAGCTGGCTAGCGGCCGGCAGGTGCACATACATGGTGCGGTGGAGAACTTGGGTTTTCCGGCCTGGGTCTCCGGGGGAATCTTGACGGGGCAGAACTTGGCCGGTGGCATCCTGGAATCTCCAGGCAGCACCTGCAGAGGTCAGATAAACTTGCAACAAGGGACCCTGTCAGGAGAAACAGGACGTGCCTGACGTCGTAGGCCTTCTAGTAAGTAAATTCGAGATAGGTTACAAAGTTCAGTAATTCTTTCCTAAGTTGTTAACAGAGCTCCTTGCACCGCCTTATCGGTGTTTTTGCTTTCAAAGCATCCTTTGTCTTACCCCAGTCTGGTGAGGCGACCCTAGATGGGCCTGGTCTCTGCATCCTAAAGCCGTCCAGTAGTCCCATGAGGGTGATAATGAGAATCCCAGTAAAGGTGGTGGTTGGTGGTCGAGCTTCCTTTTTGAGGATGGGGAGGGGCCTCACAGGGCCCCACCCCGTCTTGTCCTCTCCTACGGTCTCTCGGTCTCTCGGAGGGAAGGCAACTTCCCAAAGCAGTTAAGGGACTGGTTCAAAATCTTTCAGCCAGATTCTTATGGTCCTTTCTCTACATTACTTCCGCTTTTGCGTCCTTCCAGGGCAACAGATAATGTGTGAGTGTGTGTTGGGGGGGGGGTGCTCTATGTGTGTCAAGGGTGTGTGGTGTGCATGTGTGTGTGTTAGCAAGAAGTACCCCAGTGTCAGGTCTCCTTCTTGGCCACGTCCCCATCCCTTTGCTTCTTGTCCCCTCCAGAGGCAGAGGTGGGAGGAAAGGGCCACACCCCATTCTCTCTCCTCCTTCGAGCCCCCAGATTTCTGAAGGTGGGGACCACTAAAGAAGTCCCTGCTGTGAGGTTTGAATCCCGTACCCCTTCCTTTCCCGAGGAAGGGAAAGATTTGCATAACACCAGCTACCACATACTACAGCCGTGGTCCCAGGGCTCGGTGAGCACAACCACATCATCCCAGATTCTGAGGGGGTAGTCAGGTGGCCCAGGCGGCTTCCCTGAAGTCACGTGGTGGCAAAGACACAGGCTGTGCCCACGGCCGTCGGCCTCCAAAGGTGCCCTCCGCCGCTGCCCATTTCCCCAGGGGGAGCCATACAAAGCCATATCCAGATGTCCCGGGTCACTGGAGAAGCTGTGGATTCCAGGGCCCTGGCAGAAGCAGGATTCAAGTGCAGGCAGCTTGGCTCTACTCAAACTCACTTATAATAAGATGAAATTAAATAAAGACCGCAACAGGTGACTACATCCCACCTCTCAGGCTAGCAAAGGTCCAGCACGTTGATACAATAAATTATAGGCTGTTGACACCCACAGTCGTACTCCTGCCGTGTGTGGAGCGGTGTGAACGCAAGGATGTCCATGGCAACTTTGTCCTAGCGGAGGGCCGGAAGCCACCTGACGCCCATAGCAGAGACCTGGTTAGATATCCATGAAGTGGGTGCTACATGCACTTAGACAGACAGCTCTCCGTGGCCTGACGTGGAACCGTCTGCCAGGTGGACTGTTGAGTGACAAGGCAAGAGGACAAAGAGCATTGTGCAAGGAAAGAAAGAGATGTATGTGTGTGAGAGAGAGAGAGAGCAACAGAGAGGGCGGGGGGGAGAGAGACTAGATACAACGATAATATAAGAAAGAAGATAACAGGGGCGCCTGGGTGGCTCAGTCGGTTAAGCCTCCAACTTCGGCTCAGGTCACGATCTCACGGTTCGTGAGTTCAAGCCCCCTGTTGTCAGTGCAGAGCCCCCTCCGGATCCTTTGTCCACCCCCCCCATCTCTCTCTGCCCCTCCCCCACTTGCACTTTCCCTCTCTCTCTCTCTCTCTCTCTCAAAAATAAATAAGACATTTTTTTTTTAAAGAAAGAAGGTAACAGTAATGGCCTTCAGGAGGGGAACTAGGTAGCCAAGTGCCTGGGTTTTACATCTCATCTGAACTTTTGCTTTATTACCTCAAAACCAATTACTTAAAAGAAAAGTCGGCAACCGGAATAAAGCAATACCTATCCAAGGGGGGGGGGGGGTGGCCACCAGCCCCTCCTCCGCCCTCCTGTCCCTCGTCCAGCTGTGGGTCTAACGTCTGCCTCCCTCCCTCCCTCCCACCCCTCTCCTGCCTCTCTTTCAGGCCTCAGTAACATCATAGGCATCATCGTCTACATCTCCAGCAACACAGGTGACCCAAGCGACAAACGTGACGAAGACAAAAAAAACCATTACAACTACGGTTGGTCTTTTTACTTTGGAGCCCTGTCCTTCATCGTGGCCGAGACCGTGGGTGTCCTGGCCGTAAACATTTACATTGAGAAAAATAAAGAGTTGAGATTTAAGACCAAACGGGAGTTCCTCAAGGCCCCCTCCTCGTCTCCCTACGCCAGGATGCCGAGCTATCGGTACCGGCGACGACGCTCACGGTCCAGCTCGAGGTCCACCGAGGCCTCTCCGTCCAGGGCGGCGTCTCCGGTGGGCCTGAAGATCACTGGGGCCATCCCCATGGGCGAGCTGTCCATGTACACGCTGTCCAGGGAGCCCCTCAAGGTGACCACCGCCGCCAGCTACGGCCCCGACCAGGAGCCCGGCTTCCTGCAGCTGCACGACCTGTTCCAGCAGGACCTACAGGAAGGCTTGCGCGTCAGCGTGCTGAACCGGCGGACGACCCCCGTGTGAGCCACCCCCCTCTCTGCACCGGCCTCTCCCCAGAACAGCTGTTTGGATCCCACAGGAGGGCATCTGACCCTTAGGCTGGACCGACCACGGACTGAAGCCAAAACCCAACCCTCCCTCGTCTCCAGAAAGTGTCACGGGCTGGCTGGGAGCGAAGCGCTGGGAGACGGGAGTTGGAAGCCGAAGGCTGACTTTGTCCCCCAGAGGGGCATTTTAACGGCCCAGGATTCCGAGATCTCCTGAGGCTGCAAGGCCTTGACCAACCTGGGAAAACAAAATCGAGCCATTGTCTCCTCTTGGAAATAATTCTTGCCGGAAGAACGGGCTTTCAGAGCCCTCCCTCTCTGCCTGGATGAGGGGGCCACCGGGAGGGATTCACCGGGTACACGGGGACCTTTGGACACTGGTCAGGTGCCGTTTGACCTGAGGTTCTGGGTCTGTGAGCGGGAAACAAGGAAGCCGAAACTTGCCCCCTTCCTGTCTGTTTCTTGCTCTCTCTCTCTCTCTCTTTCTCTCTGGCAGTGGCCGGGTGTTGAAATAACAGTGATCCTGAGGAGAAAGCCCCTGTGGCCAACTGGTGCTTTGGCCTTTGTGCTATCCTGGGCCGGCTTCCCTCGACCTGAGGAGAGCAAGGTCTGTGGAAGAATCCGCAGTGGAGGAGGCCATTCGCTGGCCTGGGTGTGAGGTAAACCCAGAGTCCGTGGCTTGGCATTCTGGTCTGCTTCTAGAAGTTTCTGCCGAACACAGAAAGGGCAGGACGCTCTGACTGTACTTGAGAGTCTGGAAGATTCCACGGGTCTGAAGGAAGGTGCCCATATGGCCTCTTGCCGTGTCCCTCCCCACGGACCCTCCTCAGAGCAGCTCTGTCCCTTCTTGGGGAGCGGAGGGGGCAGACCCCCCCCCCACCGGCGTTTGGCAACAGGAGCCTGAACTTCTGTTCGAGAAAGGGAGACCCGAGGGTGAACAGCGGCCAACACATCAGAACAAACATCCGTTTCCTAAGTGGTTATTGATCGTGACTGGTTGCAAATGAAGGCCAGGGGAGCAAGTGACACTCGGTTCTTCGTCCAGACAACGGCAGCAGCAGCCCCTCCCCCACACCCACTCTTGTCATTTATTCTGCCACCACCCGAAGGGCTCAGCCGAGGGAGTTCGGGCAGTTTGGATGAAAAGGCCGCGCTGTGTTTTCCTTCCTCCTCGCGGGAGGGACATCTCGGCACTCTGGAACCGAGGCGGCGGTTCCGCGTTGGACGTTTTCTTCCAACCACAACCATCTCTTCCCATCCCGAGGCAAGCGGAGAAGGCAGACGCGAGTGTGGGTTCAGAAGACAACCTTTCTGGAACAGGGAGCTCACCCTCTTTTATATAAAACACGTGCTTTCTAAAGACAAATCCTTTCTTACTTTTTGAGACTTGGTCGTCCGATCTCGAGCGGTCGCCTGTGGTCCCGGTAGCTGTCATCCTGAGAAGTGACCAGCGAATTCTTACCTCAGCCACCTGCTCGCCGACCCCCCGGGCGGACTCAGCCCCCAGGAGTTGAGATCTGGGTCACGGTCATCGCCATCCTCCTTCACCCCCCGAGAGGAAATCTCCCCGGGGACCCCTCGCCTGACTGCCCCGGAGCGCTGGCCAGCCGAGGCGCGGTGTGCTGGGGACCCTCCGCGCTTGCCCGAAACCCCTTCCTCCCGTTGAGGTTGGCTTTGTGTGGTGGTTTGTCCAAGCATGTGCAGCCGTGAATGCTGGAGCGTCAGGGCTCGTGGCCTGCCCTGCTGGGGGCCAACCCCGTCCCGTCCTGCCCCCAACCCGACCGCCCTTGGTGCCCCACCCGCCCCCCCCCATCTGTGACCCCATCTTCCCGGGCTCGAAGGAAAGGGGGCAACATCTGGGAACCCATCACCCCGCCAGGTCCCCAGACTCTTCTGTCACTTCCCAAAGCAAGGCAGCCGTGCTGTTTCTTCTACATAAGTCACCTCCTCCCCTGCTGCCCCGGAAGTTTCTGTCATTTCATGCAGAAAGCTGTGTTCCCATGAATCCTACCTCTCGCCCAGTCCCAGGCAGAGAACGCGGGGCCCACTCTAGGGACCAAGAAAGGGTAGAAAGAAGCAACAAAGAAGGACAGAAGGTCGGGGAGCAGAACCACCTCAGAGCCCCTGGTCTTCACAGCCTTTCTCCCCACCATGCCCGGGCTCCCGGACCCTCTGCCCGGGGCCACCCTTCTGCGCACCGCCCCCCCAGCCAGGGGCGCCTGGGGAAGTGGGCGGAGCTGGCTCCCTGCCATCTGTCAGGCTGAGACCTTGCGTCCCCAGAGGGGGGCGCAGGGGCCTGTGCCCACCTCCTCCCATCCCACCACCCTCTCCAACCAGCCCCTGTGTGTTTCGCCCGTTAAGCACCTGTGAATCCTGTTACCTACTGCTGGTTTTGGGTTGTTAGTTCTGTCTTTTTTTTAATTAAATAAAAACCTTTTTGAAATGTTCTCTTCTTGATGTGGGGGGAAGGGGTCGAGCTCCCTTTGAGTCTTTGTGGGCACTTAGGGCAAACAGTGTCCCTCCTAGGGGACACTGTGGACCCTCCAGGAGAAGAAGGAGGGAGGCTGGGCCCTGTGCCGGGCAAGGTGGGTTTCTCGGGCTTTCATCCAGGTCACCAGCCACCTCCCTGGCAACACCAGCTGGTTTCAGACTGCTGAGTGGTATCATCAAGGTGCCTTTTAACAGATGGGCTGGGAGATGGACGGGCCACCCCTGCGTGTGGTGTGGGCATCTGGGCAGCTGAGCAAGCCAGACCCGTCTTCAGAACCTGCCGGGCGGGGGCCAGCCAGCCAGAACCGCAGCCTCGGAGGCCCTAAGTTGCCTGCCAGGGTTTCTAAGAAGCCCAGCCTCCTTTCCCCCTCCAACTTCGGAAATGATTAAAAAACAAAGGAGGCCAAGTAGCAAAATGACTGGTAAAGCTGGCTCCAACCAGAGGCCAAATGGGACCAAGCCGTCTAATCTCAGGCCCAGCCGCCTGAGTCAGAGAGAGGGACCCGGGTGGCCCCTCGGAGCAGGGCAATACTGACACGCTGCGACAGGCCCCCGCGGGTCACAGGGGACGCCCGCTGTAACCCAGCAGGTTCACCCCTGCAGGTGGGCACGGGCTGGATGTCAACTCTGTGCTCTTGGGAGGCATGACAAGGGGAGGACTGCTGTCCTCCCCCACTTCTACCCGAGCTACCGTCCAGGGGACATGTGCATTCAATTACACATCCCCCTTTCTTTCGGGACCCAGACCTCGAGTTTTCCTCCTGAGAGTCAGGGGCTCTGCTGCTCCTCCTGGAGCCTGGAGGCACCAAACTCTGAACACCCAGAAGGTCTTTCCTGGTCCCGGCAAAGGGAGGCCGAGTGAGCCACGTCCCCGCTCTGGTGGCTGCAGGAACCACTCCCCGCACGCCTGAACTTTCTCCCCTGGCTTTTTAACCCTCTTTCCTACCACCTGAGATGGGTCTGTGGGGAAAGTGATGTCCCAGATGCGCTGAGCCACCAGGTCCCCGGCGAGCTCAGCTCCACAGCCCCACCCACTGACCCCCTGCTCCAGCCCGAGCCGTTGCCACCCAGCACCAGCCCCACGTGCCAGAGGGACTCTGCCTCCTGTTTGTTCTCAGCCCTCAGGAAACTCTGGCTCAGCACAAGCTTTGCAGCCGTTCTGGGGGGGATCCCGTGGCAGTCTGAATTTAGGGGCAGGGTATGGCTTCCAACGTGGGGTTCACGTGGTCCCGAATTTCCATCAAATAAAAAACTCGGTCTCCCTAGTTTGCAGAGTTAGATCCACAAGAAGTGACACAGAACCGATGTTATTCCCTAACCAAAATGCCCCCCCCCCCCCGAGCCCCGCTCCGGCCCGGGAGCCCCCATCCTTGCCTTCACTTACGCTACTCAGAGTAGGCAAACGGCATTACCAGCAACGCCCAGTCCTAGAGTGGCTTAATGCAACGGAACTTTACTTCTCACTCATGTAAAGCCCAATCGACTGGGTGCGGGGGCAGGGAGGGGGGGTGGCGGGGGGTCCTGCGCTCCACAGCGTCATTCAGAGTTACAGGCCCGAGCCGTGGGAGCTCATTCATTTTCAATATCGGCTGCCAAGGTTGCCCTGGCATTGACATCCAGGGGACCGAGGGGGAAGACAGAGGGCAGGCAATTGATCATGAGAGTAGGGGAGTCTTGTGGGGAGTTTTAAGTGACTTTCCCTCCTGCTCATATGCCGTTGGCCAGAATCCAATAACACGGTCACATCTCTAAGAGCCGGGGAAGATACGAAATGTGGCCTGGCCCAGGAGGAAAGGAAACCAGTTTAGGGAACAGCTGGCCAGTCTCAGTTCCCCGGTCTACGCCTTTCAGCACCGTCCTCTTTTCCCTCCCCCATCACCCACCAATGTTCTCGGGAGTGCCTACGTGAAACCGGGACTCTGTCTGGGACTGCATCTACCTGTGTGGCCTGAGCCCTCCTTCAGCTCCGGCGGGATGCCTGGCCTCTTCTCTGCTCCGGATGCGCCATCGGCAAAACGCGTCTACGCTCCCTTCTCTGTGGACTTGGAAGAACGGGCTTGAGCTTGTGCCTTGACCCCAACAAGAACCAGAATCACTGGACATCGTGACCAGCAGGAGTGGTAGGTGCCGTAAGAATCATCCCATTTGATGGACTCATCCTGGAAGAGGGATAAGCCAAAAGAGGGAGGAAGGGATTAAGGAAGAATAAAAAGAAGGGAGGAAATATTTTTTGAGGATGTTCACAGCAATCATGAAAGGGAGATGCCACTAGCCCAGGGGCGATTTTGTTCTCCAAGGGCCACTTGCCAAGGTCTAGAGACATTTTTGGTTGTCACACTCGGAAGGGGGTTGCTCTTGGCATCTAGCGGGTGGAGGCTAGGGATGCTGCCGAACATACTCCACCCGCCAAGAACGATCTGGCCCCAAATGTCACTAATGCCGAGGCTGAAAAACCGTGCATTGGCCTGATTTTACGGTGAGGGAGACGTGAGGTCACTGGTGCGGGGTCACACCCGGGCTTCTGATACTTGCACCTAGGCTGTGGACATGTTAGGAACACCCAACTGTTTATTCCCAGGATTGCCTGTCCCTGCAACTCTTTCTGATTTTTGCCTTTTTCCTCTTTGCTTTTGAGCCAACAGTTTTGGAAACAGAAATTTGTCACTGCAAGAGGAAACGGGAAAATGGCCACCTGGCCTGGGTGGGCGCAGGGGTGCCTGGGTTTGGGGACAAAAGGCTGACTGAGTTCAACCAAACGGGTAACCGGAGATCAAGCCCAGAAACCTGGCCCGGCTTGAGGCCGGGACTCCACACCTGGGGCGTCCTCCTCTGCCCGTGCCCCTGTCGGCAGCTGCAGGGACACGGCCCGGAGCCAGAAACACCGATTCATGAGCCAGCAGCACTGGGCAAGCCCCCCAACCTCTCAGAGCTCCCGTCCCCTCCTCAGTCAGATGAGGAGGTAGCACTTCCCCAACCCCCAGGGCTGTTGGGAGAATGAATGAAACTTGAACTTGAAGGAAAGGTTCGTAAATTACCTGAGCTCAGCAACGAGCATGAAGAGTGAACTTTCGGGAGTGTTCGCTGACCAGCAACACGTAAGGAGTTTCCAGGTGGATGGTTCTACAACAGCCTTGGGAGGTGGCACGCTGAGGGTGTGGTTTGGGAGAAACCTGTCATCCCGCGGATCCAACACGGGGCAGTGCTCCCCAGGGAGGGCTCCTGCCCCAGCTGCTTCTCTGGCTGAAGCCCATTCGTTTCCACCCTCTGGTCTCCAGGACACCGGGTGGCAGTGGTCACGGCTGCCCCTGTGGCTCCTGCCTTCTTAGCAGGTCCTGCAGTCCCGCGAACCTTCTTCAGGCTGGAAAGGCTGCAAGAGCCCAGTCCTGACCACTTTCAGGTGCCCTGGGAGCTGGGCTGCACGGGAAGGTCCGGGTCTCTAGGGTGGGGCTGGCACAGAGGAGAGGCCTAGGGGGCGGGGAAGGGAGGGAGCTCCCTGCAGGGAGCTCAGAGGCAGCACGTGACTTCAGCTCCCTGCACTGGTTCCTAATATAGCACCCCTGGCCGCCCAGCCCTAGACCTGAGGGGTGGGGCGAGGGACGGAGGGTAGGAGAGGCGCTCAGGGAGCTCAGAATCCGAAAGGGGAGATGATGCAGGTTCACCCGATACAGGTATTTTTAAACTTGCAGCTCCCAACAAAATTGCCAGTACAACCTCAACCTCGGGAGAAGTCTGTGATGACAGAGGGTTACAGGTGCTTTTTTTTTTCCCCCTTGTGCTCACAACTGCAGGAAAGGGTCCCTGGAAGGACCTATTTCCTGACCTTTGACCCCTGATAAGTTTTCTGAGACACACTAACCCCCGAGGGGGTCTCCAAAATCCACCAATTAAATTGCAAATAGCCAGGTCCTTTTTAAAACAAATAATACTACATTTTCCTAATTCTAAGAGTATTCCATTTTGCCTTTTTAAAAAAAAAAATCTAAAAATACAGAGAAATTAAAGAAGAAAACACTATCAGCCAGAAGTCCTACCGCCCAAGACATAAACCCAGGTATAACATTTCAGGGTACCCCAGTGTAGGTTAATCCCCTCCTCTGGTCACCACTTTTCATCATGGCTATCTTCCCATGTCTTTACATATTTCTCAAAGGCACAATCTGTAATGGCTGCATAAAACAGAGATGTGGCCATTTATCTAACCAATGTCCCCTGGCTGCACGGAGCCGATTTGCTCCCTAGATCTTCAATGGTGTCTGAATGGGACCAAAGGGCTGGGAATCTCAGGAAGCGTTTGGTTAAGATCCAGTGACTTCTCACCGTGAACTTCTGGCTCAGCTCTATCCTAGAGGCCGATGAAAAGGTAAGTTCCTTGTCCACCCTGAAACGCACTCAGGATCTTGTCTACATGCACACCTGGGTGTCTGGGCTGGGGCGATAACAGCTCCCCTCCCCAGGAGCTAGAAAGCAGCTCCGTGCCAAGTTCCTCTTGAAAGGCTGGGGCTGCTTCATCCCACCAGGCTTCACGTCTAGCCGCCCTCCGCCAAGCTAAATGGAATCCCTTCCACTTTCTGAGTGTATCAGCTAGGAGGGCTGTGTAACAAATTACACCAGAACTTAGTGGCGTTAAACAACTGTCAGAAATGATCGTGGATTCTTATCTCTGCTTGACAGAGACAGGATCGGGATGGCTTATCTCGGCTCCACAGCGTCTGTCTGGGGCCTTGGCTGGAAGACCCGAGGGGTGGGGGCTGGAATCATCTGGAGGCTAATCTGCTCGTGTCTGGCAGTTGATGTGGGCTATTGGCAAAGACTGTAGCTGCAGTTTGCAGCCTGAATGTCTACACATGGCTTCTCTGGGTGGCCTGAGGTTCCTCACAGCATAGTGGCTAGGTCCAACGGCCAGTGTCCCCAGAGCAAGAGGGAAAGGTAGAAGCCTCAGAAGTCACATAGCATTACTTCAGCTGCACTTTGAGGGTGAAGACAGTCAAAAACCTGCTTGAGTTCAAGGAGAGAGGAAAGAGATTGCACTTGTTGATGGGGAGTGGCAAGGTTCTGGAAGTATATGTGGACACAGAAATGCTTCTATGGCCACTTTTGGAAGATGCAGTCTCCCCTCCCCCACTTCCAGCCCCTCCCCACCCCACCCAGTCTCTCCAATACCTTGTGGGGCTCTCAGCTTCTTCTCCACCCACCAATCCTCTCTTCCGTCCTCTGTATCCACGGTGCCTTCTGGAACTCCCCGAAATCTCCACCTCCTGGGACACGTGAAACCATCCTCTCTCCTAAGGACACACCTTTCCCTGGTCCTCCTGGTGAAAGCTGTCCCTTCTTCCACTGGGGTTCCCTGCCCAGGTTCCCAACAAAACATTCCTGGCTGTTCAGCCCCATGACCCGTCCTGAGAGGTGTGGGGCTGCAGAGAAAAGGGATCCAAGACACCTCAGGGTCCAGAGGAGGGTTGGAGCAGGTACACTGGATACTTGCAGCTTCCAACAAAACTGCCAGTACAACCTCAGGAAGTCTGTGATCAGAGAAGATTATGAACGCATGTCCTTGGACTTGTCATAGCAAGGCGGGGGGCAGGGGGAGGCGGTGCTGACACCTGCAAACCATTATTCCTCCACTCTCCTGGGGAGGAGCCTTCTCTGAGGGCCAGGGGTCAACCACCCCAACTCCCTGGCCTCACGGCTCTCCTGCCTTCTTGCCTCCGTTGACCTTTGTCTCCAACCTGGATATTGGCATCACCCTGGTCTGCCCCCCACTGTCATCTTCAGGGACAGCGTCCTCCTCTCTGACCACAGCCGTCAGTGCTCCAGCCCCTTCACTGCCTTACCACCACTCCACCTGTTCTCAAACCTCATCAAGTCCCCCAGGGCCTTGGCCTCTCCAAATTCTCCCAATACATCGACCTTCCCGGTTGTAGGACCCTCGAGAGTCATCATTTAAGCTCATCCTTGCCAATGTCTCCATTGCCTTGGTCCCTCTGCTTTCTAGCTTTTCCCTCCTGGGAGAACCCAACCCTCCTAATCTCACCTTCCATCTTCTCCTGAACCCGAGCTGCAGGATGATGCCAGAGAAAACCAAATTGTAAATCAACGCATAATGTAGGCAGATAGTGGTCTCCAAGGATGCCCAAGTCCTAATCCCTGGAACCTGTGAGTATGTCACTTTACGTGGCAAAAGGGACTTTGCAGCTGTAATTAAAGTAAGGATCTTGAGGGGCGCCTGGGTGGCGCAGTCGGTTAAGCATCCGACTTCAGCCAGGTCACGATCTCGCGCTCCGTGAGTTCGAGCCCCGCGTCGGGCTCTGGTCTGATGGCTCAGAGCCTGGAGCCTGCTTCCGATTCTGTGTCTCCCTCTCTCTCTGCCCCTCCCCCGTTCATGCTCTGTCTCTCTCTCTGTCTCAGAAATAAATAAATGTTAAAAAAAAAAAAATTAAAAAAAAAAAAAAAAGTAAGGATCTTGAGATGGGGAGCTTTTCCTGCATTATCTGGGTGGGCCCAGAGTCATCACAAGTGTCCATAAAAAGGAAAGAGGGAGGCAGGAGAGTCAGAGAAGGAGACATGATGACAGAAGCAGAGGTCAGAATGGAGCGATCGTAGGCCTTGAAGGCAGCAGAGTTCTGGGTCCCCTGGGCTCACAGGATGGAATTGGGAGCAGCAAGCCTGATGCAACAAAGGGTCTGAGTTGAATGGCACAGGGAGGCAGATGAAGTGGGTGTAAAGAGGTTGGACCCGCTGGGTGGCACCGTGCTTTTTTTTTTATAGTATCTTAAGATGAAACGCCCAAGGCCACTTCGCAGCCTAATTAGCGCTCAAAATTAGATCAGCATGCTGTCAAAGAGGACTTATTGGGCCCCTCCCAGGCGTGCCCTGGCCCCAGCTCCGAATGAGGTCCACCTCTGGGGGACGTTTCCCTTCCCCTAGTCACGTCTGGTCCTTCTTGGGAAAACAGCAGTCACTTGGGACAAATGAAAACTGGTTCCTCTGGACGAGTAAAAATATAGACAAAACTCCCAATTAGCTGAGTGCAGCATATCTAAGGAGTGTGGAAAACGTTGGCTTCAGGATGCTGCTTCCCTTTGAACTTGACTGCAGAGGTAGTGATGATGCCCTCCTGGGGTGTCCCGCAGCAGCTTGAGGTAAATTAGCCAATGCTCTCAGCTGTCCTGGGTCTGCCCCAGCTGCCATTTCTAATGTCCCTGTGGCCTCGAGCCACACAAAAAAGTCCTTTGGATCATCTGGTGGGGCAAATGATTTGAGCTTCCGTCCCTTTCTTCTTTCAGTAAATCTGTCCAGCCAGCCAGCCATCAGTCATTCAACAAACATCTATGAAGATCCCACTCTGGGCTCAGATCTAGGGGTGTCCTCTGAGGGCACCCAGGACGAGTACATAATAGTCTCACTGTCGCTACCCTCCAGAAGCTTATAGCCCATAAGAGACAGCTGGTCCATCTGTGCTCTGTAAATAATCATAACAGCACTAGCCTCCCCGAACCCATTGCCTACTGTTAGCTCAGGCCACCATAACAAAATCCCATAGACTGACTTAAACAACAGAAATTTATTTTTGCAGGGTGCCTGGGTGCCAGTTAGTTGGGCGTCTGACTTCGGCTCAGGTCACGATCTCACTGTCTGTGGGTTCGAGCCCCGAGGCGGGCATTGTGCTGACAGCTTGGAGCCTGCTTTGGATTCTGTGTCTCCTTCTCTCTCTGCCCCTCCCCTGCTTCTGTGTGCGCCGTCTCTCTTTCTCTCTCAAAAATAAAGAAGCATGAAAAAAAACAAAAACAAAAAAGGAACTTTATTTTCACCAGGTTCTGGAGGCTGAAAGACTTAGAACAGGGGACTGCACGGTTGGCTTCTGGTAACAGCCCTCTTCCCGGGTTTTACCTTCTCACTGGGTCCTCACGTGGCAGGGAAAAAGAACAAGCCTTCTGGTATCCCTTCTTTGAAGGATGCTAATCCCATCAATCCCATCACGGGGGCCCCCTTCTCATGACCTCATCTAACCTAATCACTGCCCAAAGGTCCCACCTCCAAATACCGTCACAGTGGGTGATGCGTCGACATGCGAATTTAGGGGGGACATAATCCTGTCCACAGCACCTAACACGGGCTAAGCTGGTAAAGAGCATTATCTCTGATGCCTGCCAGCTCCCCAGCCAGCCAGCGTTGCATTGATAGATGCAGCGGGGCGGCTTAGAGAGGCTGATGACTCCCAGGAAGCCGGGCTCAGCAGAGCAGGCTCTGAGCCTGGGCTGGCCGCTCCATCCCTGGCACGCTGATGCCCGCTCCCAGGAGACCCTCCTTCCCCACGCCCTGGGGAGGGGAGGGCCCGCGCAGAGGGCACAGGTGTCTCCCAGCCCTGGCTCCCCAGCAGACACCGGCATCCACGGAGCCCCTTCGCTGGCACCGTGAGGGTTCCCGAGAGCCACACAGGCAGCGTGACTGTGGCCTCAATGAGCAGAAAACGTCTGAAGGAGCTTGGAGGCAAAGGCGATGGGACCGGGAGACTCACCCGCAAACCCCTGGAGTCGCCCACATCGTGGCAGATTTACACAAAGAGGACTTCAAAAGGAAGAGGCCATCCATCTTTCATGCTCTGAGGCCGGTGGAGGACTCGGGGCCCCCCGCCCCCCGGCTGCCCAACCCCCTCCTGCCTCCCCCGTCCCCGCCAAGGGAAGGTGCAGCCCGGCCTCCGTGATGAGCCTGCTGTGTGGTCCGCAGTTGCCGGTGATGCTGAGCGTACCCCACGGGCCAGGCCCCACTCAGCACCCTTCCCAAGACCTTCGGCGGCTCCCGCACCGGAGAGCTCAGGATGCCCACCCCCACCGCACCCGGAGATTCAAAGTACACCTCTATTTCTTCAAATGACTTCCTATCTACCTGTAGTGCTGAAATTAAGTCGTAATATAGTGCTTCTTTCTAGATATTCTGTCCTAAACCACCGGAACCTTCTTCTCGCCCCCTGACTGCCGCTTTGCGGGTGTGCCTGGCACACGGTGAGTCTGCCTCGGGCTACCCCACGTCCCTCCGAGGACCCCAGGCACCTGGCACTTGAAGCTGGGCCCATAGGCCGTGCTAGGGGCTGGGGTCCTGGGCCAGGCCTCTGCTCCGGGGAGCTCCCCCTGGAGAGGGCCCGCCCGCCCGGACACAGAAAGGCACTCTCAGGGGGCCAGTCCCCTGCGAGAACACAAGCAGGGGGCGGGGAGAAAAAGGGAGCACAGATGAGGGGGCATCTCTCGGGAGGTTATAACCGGAAAGGGAGGCTGGTTTGCAACACAGAGATGATCTCTAACTGCCCAGGCGCCCCTGTATGTGTTTCTCTTGTTACGGGAGCCCGAGCCAAGAACTTGGAAGGGTAGAGGAAAAGGAAACTTGTGCTCACCAGTAGTCACAACAGATCTTGGCCATTCCTCCTGGCTCCGACCATGGCTTCAGAGGTTGGGCTCTGGGTTCTGAGAGCTGGCTTCACCGTTTACCAGCTGTGTCACCTTGGGCAAGTTGCTTCTGTATCCGTACCTGTAAAATGGATGTGATAGTTGCACTCACCTTATGGAGCGGTGTGAAACTGAAAGACAGTGACGTGGAAAAGCTTAGCAGGGCACATGATATATAGTCAACACTCACCGGATGAGCCGTTCCCACGATCATCATTACCCTTAACGGTCTGTGACGCCTGAGTGTTTCTCGCACACAGGCAGAGAATTTCCGTTAAGCTACGTCAATCTGAGGCCGGGAGTTTGAAGCTCAAAAGCCCGCTCGGCTCAGGGGTCTATTCCTGGCCACACATCAGGCTCTTGGATCGGCCCCAAAAGGGGCAACTGGTAAACCCGGAAAGGCGGAGAGGTGCACGATGCGGGAGGGGTGCGGGGGCTCGCGGGCAGGCAGGACTCTCCGAAGGCCGGCCCGCTTTCCTCTGTCCCCTGCTGTATCCGCGCGCCCATCAGCCTCTTCGTAGTCACCTGTGGAACAACCGACTTCTGTCCTTTTTTACTGAAATGCATTTATCTCGTCAATGAAAACGTACGTGGCAAATCTTTAATAGAAGTAAACTGAAAACCGTAAGATAAAAGCAGAACTACTGTCGGGTCCCGCCGGATTCTTTGCCCTCTCTGGGCTTTTCTTTGGTTTGCAAGCATCAGAAAGGTGTTCGAGACTTACCAACCCCAAACAGAGCTTTTCTTCTGGACCCAGTTGGGGGGATGGGAGGAGAACCAAAAGGGAAATAGTGTTCTCACCCCGGGCACGGTGCTGGGCAATGCCAGGCCCAGGAAACACCTGAAATCTTCCTGCAGTTTGGGGGATGGGCTAGGGCATGAGGCTAATGCCTGGGAGGGTGGATCCCCAAGATGTCCCTGGGCAGGATCCTGGGTCCCCCAGACTCCCAGGACAAGGACCCATTCATCCCTTCCACTGGTGACTGGTCTGCACAGTGTGAGAGCACAAGGGTCCCCTGTGTCCCCAGGGTCCCCTGCCCTTACCCAGCAGTGTCCCCTGATCCTGCAGCCCAGAGCAAGCAGGTGCCCCCTGTGGCCTGCCCCTCACTACCTCCAACTCAGGTATTCTGAGCTGCCAATCGTGGCGATCTCTAGTCACCATCTAGAGCCTTCTTTCCTCGCCTCTCCCAAAGGTATTTCTGGTCCCGAGAGGGAAAGAAAGCCCTGAAACCTGAGCAGAAGTTATCCTTAGTGACACGCCTGAGCAGTGCATTAATAGAAGCCTCCCTCAGGCCCCTGACACGTCTGGGCAGCTGCTCAGTCCCGTCTGGTGTCCCTCAGCCCCAAGGCCAGCCCCCTCTGGCTCAGCCGGACACACTAAACTTAGCTTCCACCCCCAGCTCATAACCGCTGCCACCTCCCAGCCTGGCTGCCACCTGCCTGGGAGCCACCGCCACCAGACCACGCCGAAGGCGCCCGCTCCTCCGCCACCAACATGTCCCAGACCAAAGCGCCCAAGGTCCGCGCGACCCTCTTCTGCATCCTGGTGGGCATCGTGCTGGCCATGGTGGCCGTGGTGACCGACCACTGGGCGGTGCTGAGCCCCGAGGTGGAGCACCACAACGCCACCTGCGAGGCGGCCCACTTCGGCCTCTGGCGGATTTGCATCAAGCGTATTGTCACGAGTGACGGCAAGGACAAGACCTGCGGACCCATCTCCCTGCCTGGGGGTAACGTACCCACTCTCTGATCCCGTGCCCGCCTCCTGCCCTCCCTCATCCCCCTGGAAAAGGTGCCTGTGGGAAAGACCAGGAATAGCGCCCAGCCCCCTGTGCCCAGGGAGGAGGATCTGGATTGCATGTGTCATCCCGGAGGCCAGAGCTGCCGGCTCGTAAAATGAGGGCGTCTGTCTCTAGCTATTTCTGTCTTGCTGGGGCCTCGGGCCGTGCGCCCAGAGCAGAGGGCTGCGCAGGTGGGACCAGAGGCTCACGAAAGAATCCGTGGATCCATCAGACTAGAGGCTCCCAGCCCAGCAGCGGCCACTCTTCTGGGTGTGCCCGGCCCCACTCTCTCCCCCGCACAGACAGGCTAAGCGGCCCTACATCCTCGGGCCGAAGGGACACGTGCGGCCGGCACGGTCGCTCCCCAGCCTCCAGGTTGGGTGTGTGACGGGATCGGCCGCGACACGTATGGGGCGTAGCGCAGAAGGAAAACGCGGGGCTCCTTGTCATTGTCTTTTAAGAATTTCAAGACGGGGACAGCGAGGCCTGGAGCCAAGCGGGGGTCCCTTCTGTGTGCAGGGCCTTGGCCGACCGCGTCGGTCACACGTCCGTAAAGCGGGACCTGGGTGTAGGTGAACCACCCACTTGGTACATCCCCTCTGAGCTCAGACCCCTTCAGAGCCGGGAAGCGGCTCCTCCTGCTGCGACTTAAGCGCACTCCTCAATCTCCCACCATGTGACTGAGCCGCACATCAAAGGCGAGCTCCTTGTGAGGATACCTGGTAGCAGGGTGACCAGTCTATTCTGCAAACGTGGAGCCTTCCACGCCCGTGGCAAACAGCACACGCCGAGGAAAGAGCCCTGTGTGCAGAATCGAAGGTCTGGGCTCCAGTCACGCGTTGCCCACGACGCCCCAGTGATTTTGGGGGCGACAAAGGATATTGTGACTTCTGCTTGGCGCTCGGGGCTCAGCAACGTGAGTCCCTCCCGAGGCTCACGAACAGCACTCTGAGGTGGCAGTGGACCGGGCCGAGGGCGGTCTCCCACCTGGTTTTCTGAGGCATTCCCTCTGCTATCAGACTGGGGGTTCCCTGCACCCGGCCCTTCAGAGAAGTCAGTGCTAAGTCCCTGGAGCCCTTGCAGTCTGTGTGTGGGACAGAGGAGCCCAAAGCCCATTGCCCCTACTTCTCTTTTACCTCCTCCTTCCCCTCCCGCTGGCTCTAGGAAGCCCCTGCCTTGCTCACACCCCCCTTGAAATGCGGAAGACTTGTCGATACCCAGCTGTCCTGGAAACACCGAGTCCTGGGGCTTTAACAGACGTGGACATGTGCTTGAAGGGTATCACATACCCACGTTCCTCAGCCACGGCCGAGCACACCCGTAAACAGATGCATCATGCAGCCAATTCCCCCCAGCAGGGCAGGGCAGGGCAGGGCAGGGCGAGGCCGATTCTCTACGGACCGTGCATGGGAATGCACGTTACGGTCCCGTCCATCTGTCCTCAGAGGCCCTACCTTTTAAAGTCTGGGGAGTTTACAGAGCAGATGAGCGGGGAGGCACGGCAAGTCCATACAAGGAAGAGACCAACTAGCAGAGGACCAGCAGGCATGGAGTGGCCTCGAGCCCGACAAGACAGTCCATCTGTATGCCTCCTTGCTCTGGCCCAGAGGGAATCCTGCCTCCCACCCTTGCGAGCCAGGCCCTACCCCAACAAGCTTCTAAAGTATGTTCCTGCCTCCTCCCCTCTCCTTTCTCCGCAGATGCACGCACCTTTTGCCTTCCCCAGCCACCTTTCCTGTGCTCTGTGGGATTACTCTTTTCTAGAGGGAGGAACAGAGCTCATCTATGTTCTCTCATTTATTATGAATGGCAATAATCACCACCACAAACACAAACATAGTACCATCTGCCAAGTATTGTTTCAAGTCCCTTCCCTATTTTAACTTTGTAAAAAAAAAAAAAATGTTATGTTTATTTTTGAGAGAGAGAGAGAGAGAGAGAGAGGCAAATGCGAGCGGAGGAGGGGCAGAGAGAGAGAGGGAGACAGAATCTGAAACAGGCTCCAGGCTCCGAGCTGTGAGCACAGAGCCTGACGTGGGGCTCGAACCCACAAGATGTGAGACCATGACCTGAGCCCAAGTCGGACGCTTAACCGACTGAGCCACCCAGGCGCCCCACCCCACCCCCACCGCCCATAGTTTAATTTTGAATGACATCAGAAGAAATTACAGACCGAGAATCTCCAAAAATCCTCTTCTCCTCAAATACAATGACAACTCGAGGATGGTGAGCTTTGTGGCACTTTAACTTGCTCTACTCCTGTTCCCCACTCCCCAACTCTGTCATAGCCTTGAAACCCAACAGCCTGCAAATAGTGAAAATTTAGCAGCCTGGACAGGCTGGGCTGGGTCTCTTTCACAGCCTCATTCCCAGAGAACTGTCATTATCTGATCTGTCTGGTGGTTCCCTGGAAGTCCCCACTTGCAAGGCTGTCTTTATTTGACCCGACGCTGAGCTCATCCGGCGGAAAACGGTCTTTTTTCCAAGGGGACATTTGCCGAAAACAATTAGAAACGATCGTTTAATGGCGTAACTTCCCGAGGCAGTAGACCACGGCGAGGCAGACAATAGGCAAACCAAAAAGCTGGAGAATGAGATATCCACAGGGGGCTTGGAAAAGCTCCATCATAATCCTGAGAATTTAGAAGGCCACGTGCATGCGTGGTGCTGTAGAGTACAGAGGAAATCCCTGAAGAGGTCCTAAGCTCTCACCTCGGGTTGCTCTTGAGGCTGTGGGCAAGCAGAAAGTCAAGGCTAAGGCAGAAATGTAGGCTGCTTCGTGGAACACTTAGCTCTCTCTGCTCAGCCCCTCAGTAAAGGCTGGGAGGTGTAGGCGTTCCCAGCATTTTGCCAAATGTGAGCTGACTGCCGAGCTACCTGAGCGGAGATTTCAGTGTCCACACGTGACAAAGGGTGCGGCCTTTCCACAATTAATTAAGAGAAGTCACTAAACAAACGACAACAAGCAGCGACAGGAGCAAACCCTGGGGAAACGGGAGGACTCTGATTTCCAGAGGCATTCATTGTATGGGGCACATTTTCCAGCTTTAAATTTAAATTAAAAAAAAAAAATTTAATGTTTATTTCCGAGACAGAGAGGAACAGAGCATGAGTGGGGGAGGGGCAGAGAGAGAGGGAGACGCAGAATCCGAAGCAGGCTCCAGGCTCCGAGCTGTCAGCACAGAGCCCGTCGCGGGGCTCGAACTCACAGACCGCGAGATCACGACCTGAGCCGAAGTCGGCCGCTCAACCGACTGAGCCACCCAGGCGCCCCTTATTTTATTTTTTTGATGCTTATTTATTTTATTTATCTTGGGAAAGAGAGAGAGAGGGAGAGGGAGAACACAAGCAGGAACAGGGGAGGGACAGAGAGAGAGGGAGAGGGAGAGAGAGAGAGAGAGAGAGAGCATCCCAAGCAGACTCCTGCACTGTCAGCGCAGAGCCCAACGTGGGGCTGGAACTCACAAATCAAAGAGTTGTTGAGCTGGAATCAAGAGTTGGTCGCTTAATTGACTGAACCACCCCGGTGCCCCTAAATTTAAATTCTAAATTAAAAAAAAAAAAATCACAAGACATGCAAAGAAATAAAAAAGTATGGCCCATATATAAGGGAGATAAACCAGTCAAGAGATCCTTAAGAAAGCCAGATATTGGACTTAAAGACTTTAAATCAGCTATTTTAGATACAAAGAACAACAAACAACAAAGCCTAAAGGACTAAAGATGAAAACGATGTCTCATGAAATAGAGAATATCAATAATGAGATAGAAATTATTTTAAAAGGACCCGGTAGAAATTCTGGAGTTGAGAACTACAATAATTGAAATGGAAAACTCAACAGCAGATCTGAGAAGGGACAAAAAGGAATAAGTGAACTTGAAGATAGACGAATTGAGATTAGCTAATGTGAGGAATAGACAGGGGGGAAAAAAAAGAATGAAGAAAAATGAACAGAGCCTCAGAGACATGTAGGATAGTAGCAAATGAAGCAATATACACATAATGCTGGTGTATATTAAGAAGGAGAGGAGACAGAAAGAGAGAGAAAGGAGCAGAAAGGATTGGTGAAAAATAATGGCTGAAAAGTTTCCAAATTTGACGAAAAACATTAATCTACAAATCCATGAAGCTTCAGGAATTCCAGCAGGATAAATCCACCCCGAGACACATCATAATCAGAGCTGCTAAAAAATAAAGACACAGAACCTTGGAAGCAGCAAGAAATGACTCATCACATACAAGAGAGCCTTAATAAGATTGACAGCTGATATTTCTCCAGAAACCATGGAGGCCAGAAGGCAGTGGGACAACAAATATAAATATATATACAGTCATCTAATTCTCACAAAATCCTCTATAAGGTCCATACTATTATCATCTTGGCTTACAGATAAAGAAAATGAGGCACAGAGAGGTTAAGTAACTTGACCAAGGTCACACAATTACCATGGGAGAGCAGTCAGAGGCCATACCCCTAAAAGTCACCTTCTTGGTCACTACATTATACTACTTTATACCTGTCATTCTTCAGGTGATTCACATCCTACACGTGGGAAAACTGAGGCTCAGAGTGGCCTTCCCAACGCTA